CCTTCCAGCCGCTCGCCCCCTGCAGCAGCAGCAGCAGCAGCAGCAGCAGCGGCAGTGCAGCAGGAGCAGCGGCGGCAGTGCAGCAGCAGCAGATGCTCCGCTTCCGGCGCGGCGGCGCAGATGAAACCCTGGGGTCTAAACCCTAAACCCCTGCCCCTGAGGAACCCTAGCTTCCCCAAACCCCCGAATTCTGTCCAGCAAAGCCCCAAAATTGCTGCTGCTGCATGCAGCAGCACCTGAAGCCTGGGCTGTGGGACCAGCAGCAAGAGGGTCTCGAGCCACAATGGCCACTTGCATGCCATCGGGCGACCAGTAGACAGCTGTGGGGCAAACTTCGATGCGCCGGATCAGCCTGCGGAAACCCTAAACCCTAATTCCTAAACCCTAAACCCTAAACCCTGAACCCTACACCCTAGACGGTAACCGCTAAACGCTAAACCCAAACGCTAAACTCTAGGGCGTAACCCCTCTCCCGGTGAGGCCCTGTACAAACCCTTGCCCGGCTGCTGGACCACTGAGGGTTTAGGGTTTAGGGTTTGGACACCTGTAGCTGTTCCAGTCATAAAAGCAAATTGCGTCGTCGCTGCACACGCCCAAAAGATATCCCCCAAATATCTCCTCAACAGTGAACGGCGGCGTGAAGTTGTACGCCTGCAGCAAAACCCTAAACCCTAAACCCTAAACCCTAAGCCCCAACAGCCTCGCACGAAACGGGGAGTCAGCCGCTGGGGCCAGCACTCGGGACTGAGTCTTCTTGCCTCTTCGAAGTTGCAAAAGATTTTAATTCGGTTTTCTTTTTCCAAGACCGCGTAGTGGTTTTCCAAAGACCAAACCAAATCCTCGCCAGCCCCAAACGCCTTGCTGCGCAAAGCCTGCAGCAGCAGCAGCAGTAGCAGCAGCACAAGCAGGCGATACACAGGCCAAGAGAAGCATGCTGCTGATGCACGCCGCAGGTGCACTGCTGCCGACCCTTATGACGGCATACACGAGCAGTTAGAGCAACAAAGAAGCAGCAGCAGCAGCAGCAGCAGGTTCGCACTTGGGCTGTGTAAATGACGTATTCGCCGTCGCCCACAACTGCAATGAATCTGCCGTTCGGGTGGTGAGAGATGCTTTGGGGGAAGATATCTGCAGCAGCAGCAACACCGCAACACAAGACAGCGAACTAGCTAGCCGCCCCGCATTCAGCTAGCCAGCTAGTTAGCTAGCCACGCCGCAGCCTGCTAGCTAGCTAAGTACTTCGCTAGCCACCTCGCGTCTGCCTCGCTAGTCACCTCGCAGCTAGCTAGTCAGCCAGCTAGCTGGCCGGCTAGCTGGCCACCTCTCAGCTAGCTAGCTAGCTACCTCCCAGCTAGCTAGCTAGCCAGCCAGCTAGCTAACCACCTCTCAGCCGGCTAGCTAGCTAGCTAGCTAGCTAGCTAGCCGCCTCCCAGCTAGCTAGCTAGCTGGCTAGCTAGCTGTCTGGCTAGCTGTTGCGTGGGCTGGGGCTGACCGGAGTTTCCGATTTCCTTGGCGGGGCACTGGACCTTTTCGCCGTCAGGAACATTTTCGTCGATGGCCTTCAAATTGAACTGCAGCAATTCGAAGCCCCGCGCCACCACGGCCTTGCCCCCGTGGCAAGACACCACCGGGCCGTCCTTCCCCATCTGCGCACCCACCCCACACACTTGCTGCTGCTGCTGCTGCTGCTGTTGCTGCTGCTACTTCTGGTGCTGTTGCTGCTGCTGCTGCTACTACTGGGACAGCTGCTGCGGGTGCTACTCCAACTACAGCTGCGGCTTCGCCGATTGTGCTGCTGCTGCTGCAGCTGCTGCTGCTGGGGCCGACCTTGAGGACGAGGGTGCCGCTGTCTGTGGCGACGGCGAGGACGAGGCCCCCGAGTCCGCCCTCAGCAGCAGCAGCAGGGGGCCTCGCAGCAAGGGCCCAGAGGCGCTCGAGGCCCAAGTCCAGGGGCCCCTCTTCTCGAAATGTGGGGCAGCGCCAAAGACACAGCCGCCCGTCTTCGCCTGCAGAGAACAGCAGCGGCAGCGCGTGGGGGCCCCCCGGGGGGCACAGCACTGCGCTCACGTTTTTGCTGTGCCCCGACAGCACCTGCAGCGCAGCAGCAACACCCGCACGGCCATGCAGCAGCAGCAGCAGCAGCAGCGCAGCAGCAGTAGCGGGGGAAGCAGCGCGGGCGCCGAAAGCAGCACCGGCAAAGCTGGCAGGGGAGCAGCGGAATGCAGCAGCAGTAGAGGAGCAGCAGCAGCACGGAAAGCAGCAGCAGCAGAGCAGCGGCAGTTCAGGCAGCAGCAGCAGCACAGCAGCAGCAGTTGAGGTAGCAGCAGCAGCAGTGAAGGCAGCAGCAGCACCACCAGTTGTAGTTGCGGCGTATGGGCTGAGGGAGCCCCTGCAGCAGGAGGAAGCACTTAGGGTTTCGAAGGGGAGTGGGGTCCCCGGTGTTAAGGGTTTAGGGTTTAGGGTTTAAGGGCGCACCTGGATGCACTGTTTTGTCTGATAATCCCAGATTCGAACTGTGGCATCGTCAGCGCCAGAGACCAAGTACGGCCGCTCCCCTCTGCAGCAAAGACCCAAACCCTAAACCCTAAACCCTAAACCCTAAACCCTAAACACGCCTCTGTGGCAAACTCTGCCCCCAGAAGGTGCACACTAAGCTGCCGGCCTCCGGCTCTCTCTGTAGGACCCGCCCGCGTGCGCCGCAGCTGCTACTGCTGCTACCACCACCACCATTGCTGCTGGTGCTGCTGCTGCTGCTGCTGCTGCTGCTGCTGCTGCTGCTGCGGGGCTCACGTCGAGTAGGCAATTGTGTTGACTCCTCGCTCGTGGCCCAGCAAAGAAAAGTGGGCACTGGTGACAACAGCGGGGGGCCCATTGGCTGCAGTTTTGGCCCCCGAGCCTATGGGCCCTATGCCCCACACCTTGATTGACCTGCGGCCCGCAAACCCTAAACCCTAAACCCTAAACCCTACACCCTAAACCCTAAACCCTAAGCCTTAAGTCCTCGCGGAGGCCCTGCGCGCGCCTCGCGACCCGCTAGCAGCAGCAAACGCTGCCTCGGAGACCCGCCCAGCGC